CAGAAAAGAATTGTATCTACGCTACTGACAGTAATAGTAATACAGTGATAATTGAAAAATACATAATGAAAAAAAATATGCTCGAGGAAGAATCTATAGGTAGGTACCTACCTATGTACCTAGGTACCCACTGTCAACGTCAAAAATACGTCCTGTTAACGTTGCATTGTTATATCGTATCCGTTCTGGAACAAAAAGTCGAAGACATCCGTAGGTCGCTTCATAATCAAAAACTACTTGTAGACAGTAAAAAATATGTTATAAATATAACTCAATAGGTTTCAATGTAAAGTCATAACGGTTAGGTTTACAGGACCCTAACTATCTTCTACTCTCGATTGACCCAATAACCCTAAACCGTACTTACACGTGAGTTGACGCACAAACGATCAGTTTAACTGAACAAGTAGGTACCTACTTATGTTCTAAAATATCGAAAGCACAACTAATTTTCGGGAACTAAATTATTATTTCTTCTTACTAGTGTTTCGTTAGAAATTTAAAACGAAATGCATAGAACGTCATGTTTATAAATCGAACGTTTAACGATTATTTCGCTTAGGTACTCCTTAATTACCCAGGGAAGAGGGGTTGGGAAGAGTTCAATCTTCCCTATCAAAATCCCAGTTAGTAAATAAATAGTTAATAGTAAAAATAATTATTACCTAAATATATCAACCTCTCCCATGATAAATTTTTTCATATTCACTTGTCGATACCATATGGAAAAGTTTACTTCGTGTGTTAGGAATATGAATTAAACGTAATTTAAACGAAATTAAAAATTTCTTTTTTGATCAAAAAATTTGTTAAGGAGCCAAATGGAAAAAATAGATTGACAGGACTGGCATTAATTTATGTACACAGAAACATTCATATAACTTTTTTTAATGTTATTAATCGATTCGCTAAAAATAATCGAAAACCCGATTTTATTAAATTGTACCTACTTATTAATTATTTGTATTATATTAGTAATTATTGAGTACACCTCTCCCCACTCTCTTGAAAACTGTTCAGAGACGCGACTACAACCGTGGTTACGTGTATCTGCACTCGCACAGTCCTATAATTAACATTTTAATGTACATTACTTATAAGATAAACGTTAAAAGATTTAAAACCTTCAGTTTTTGTTAGCTTTCGATCAAATTTCAATAAAAAAAATTGGAAAAATATGGCTTGTTTTGAACAATACGACCAACTATAGATTGAAATTTAAAATGTTCTCGAGGAAGATGTAATACAGTAATATTTTCTGCAATCCTTAATTGCGATCGGTAAGTGTACCTACTGATTTATGGTTAATTCGACTAGTAGCGGCGGATTGGCTAAACATTTTGGCCCGGGAAATTACCGTATGATCGACCAATAATAATAATTTTTCATAAAAGTTTCCTTAATCCATGGATTAAATGCTCGTAGAACTGTTTAACATCACGTTTACACTAGGTTTTTATCACAATCTTACAATTTAATACAATATACTTAAATACATTATTTTTATAAAATAATTTTTAATCCAAGTACATCGGCCCAGTGTTATAATACGGCTATCGGACCACCGGGAACTTTCCTGGTATCCCGATGGGCCAATCCGCCGCTGTCGAATAGGAAGTATTAAAAAGGGATTATTTCTTCTGAAAGTTCTATGTTTGGTTTATTCACATGATTACTTGCGATATTTATTCTCAAAAAACCATCTCGTCGCTTGGCTGTACTAAACATTCATGAAGTTTTTATTTTTTTGTTTTATACAATCGACCGTTAGCGTTTTAATAAATCTGATCACACCGGAGGAGTCGTGCTAAATTTATTTAATATATTAATGGCTTAAAAATAAAAACCGAATATCTTAAGCGAAATATCTATGTTAACGAATGGTTGTGTTTAAATGTTGTAATATGTATAAACGTATAATTGGTACACAATATACCTAACAAAAGTGGATTTTCCATTGTACTTACTTTATTTATCAGTCTTCTTTGATGTTTGTAACATTCTGGATGCCATCGGACTTCTCCGATAAAAAGATTAAAGCTTAAAGACGTTAAGATGTACGCAACGATTATTGATCGATACGCGTTTCGTAACTGTTTACCAAACAGTATATATATAACGATTAAATAATACTTTTATACTATAATCCTTGATTAAATAATACTTAGATATTACAAGTCAATTGATAATTTGTAAATATGAATATCAGTGTCTTAAGAATCTCAGTATATAGATAGCGTGTGCAGTAATGGTCCACTAAATAATTACAGCGACTTTCACTTAGTTTGACTAATGTGGTTCAGGTCATTTTGATTATATTACAGGTTGATTCCATAAACATGTTTTTATTGATTCTATATTTTCACGTATACTTAAAATAAATCAAAATTAAATAAAAAATAATTTAAAATAATTAAAAAATATATTAAAAAAATACCTATTTTCAATTGCACATAAGGTTCTAATCATTTAAATAAATTAAATAACTTATCAAAACGAACGAATAATTTTTTTTTTTTTTTTATTGAAAAGTGTTCCCGTTTGATCACAATTAACAATAAATTAAACGAAACGAGTACACAATGTACAACGATACATTCACACATAGATCAAAAATAAAATGGGTCTTATAAGTATAATTTGTTTGAAATTCAATAAAAAATTGGTAAGATTTTTCATAAAAGTGATTAAATTATCTGGTACATATTGATTCAAATTACCAGATAATTGAACGTTAATAACATACGATTTGTTTTTGGATTTTCTTTTTTTTTTGATTCCAGTAAACGGTTGATTTTATTAATCAGTAGATTACATTTAGCGGAACTTACTGCATTATTGAAATCAC